GTGATTTTTTTGGGATTTTTTTGGTGTATTTTTTGGGGTTTTTTTGGGATTTTTTGGGATTTTTTTGTGATTTTTTGGGGTTTTTTTGGGATTTTTTTGGTGTATTTTTGGGGGGTTTTTTTGGGGATTTTTTTGTGTTTTTGGAGGTTTTTTTGGGGGGGGTTTTGGGGTTTTTGGGGTGTTCCAGGAGGGTGAGCCTGGCTGACATCAGCCTGGTGTGCGCCCTGCTCTGCCTCTACAAACAGGTACCGGGGTTTGGGGGGATTTGGGGGGATTTGGGGGTGTTTGGGATTTTTTTGGAATTTTTGGAATTTTTGGGGGATTTTTGGGGATTTTTTGGGGAATTTTTTTGGGTTTTTTTGGGGGTTTTTTGGGATTTTTTGGGATTTTTTGGGATTTTTTGGGGAATTTTTTGGGATTTTTTTTTGATTTTTTGGTGTATTTTGGGGGATTTTTGGGGGATTTTTTGGGATTTTTTTTTGGATTTTTTGGGGGTTTTTTTTGGAATTTTTTTGGATTTTTTGGGGGGGTTTTTTGGGAATTTTTGGGGTTTTTTCAGGGGTTTTTTGGAATTTTTTTGGGAATTTATTTGGGATTTTTTGGGGTTTTTTGGGATTTTTGGGGGGGTTTTTTGGGATTTTTGGGGGTTTTTTGGGGATTTTTGGGGTTTTTTGGGGATTTTTTTGGGGTGTTTTTTTTTTATTTTTTGGGGAATTTTTGGGGGTATTTTTTGGTTTTTTGGGGGGATTTGGGATTTTTTGGATTTTTTTTTTAATTTTTTGGGGTTTTTTGGGGATTTTGGGGTTTTTTTGGGGGGATTTGGGGTTTTTGGGGGGATTTGGGATTTTTTTGGGGATGTTTTGGGGTGACTCAGGTGTGTTTTTGGGATGTTTTTGGATGTTCTGGGGTGACTCAGGTGTGTTTTTGGGGTGTTTTTGGGTCCCAGTTGTATTTTTGGGATGTTTTGGGGATGTTTTTGGGTCCCAGCTGTGTTTTTGGGATGTTTTCGGGTGGTTTTGGGGTAACTCAGGTGTGTTTTTGGGGTATTTGGGGTGTTTTGGGGTGACTCAAGTGTGTTTTTGGGGTGTTTCTGGATGTTTTAGGGTGACTCAGCTGTGTTTTTGGGGTGTTTTTGGGTCCCAGCTGTGATTTTGGGATGTTTTGGGGTGGTTTTGGGGTGACTCAGGTGTATTTTTGGGGTGTTTTTGGATGTTTTGGGGTGACTCAGGTGTATTTTTGGGGTGTTTTTTGGATGTTTTGGGGTGACTCAGGTGTGTTTTTGGGGTGTTTTTTGGATGTTTTGGGGTGTTTTTGGGGTGTTTTTGGGTCCCAGCTGTGATTTTGGGATGTTTTCGGGTGGTTTTGGGGTGACTCAGGTGCGTTTTTGGGGTGTTTTTGGGTCACAGCTGTATTTTTGGGGTGTTTTTGGGGTGTTTTTGGGTCCCAGCTGTATTTTTGGGATGTTTTCGGGTGGTTTTGGGGTGACTCAGGTGTGTTTTTGGATGTTTTGGGGTGACTCAGGTGCGTTTTTGGGGTGTTTTTGGATGTTTTAGGGTGACTCAGGTGTGTTTTTGGGATGTTTTAGGATGTTTTGGGGTGACTCAGGTGCGTTTTTGGGATGTTTTGGGATGTTTTGGGGTGGTTTTGGGGTGTTTTTGGGTCCCAGCTGTGATTTTGGGATGTTTTGGGATGTTTTGGGGTGACTCAGGTGTGTTTTTGGGGTGTTTTTGGGTCCCAGCTGTGATTTTGGGATGTTTTGGATGTTTTGGGGTGACTCAGGTGCGTTTTTGGGGTCCCCCAGGTGCTGGACCCCGCGTTCCGGGGCCCCTTTGGGAACGTGAATCGCTGGTTCCTGACGTGCCTGAACCAGCCCCAGTTCAAAGCCGTGCTGGGAGAGGTGACCCTGTGCCAGAGGATGGCCCAGTTCGACGGTGAGTGACACCTGGGGACACCTGGGACACACCTGGGACACACCTGGGACACACCTGGGGACACCTGGGGACACCCAAAACACACCTGGGACACACTTGGGGACACCCAAAACACACCTGGGGACACCTGGGGACACCCAAAACACACCTGGGGACACCCAAAACACACCTGGGGACACCTGGGACACACCTGGGGACACCTGGGGACACACCCAGTTCACAGCTGTGCTGGGAGAGGTGACCCTGTGCCAGAGGATGGCCCAGTTCGACGGTGAGTGACACCTGGGGACACCTGGGGACACCTGGGGACACCCAAAACACACCTGGGACACACCTGGGGACACCCAAAATACACCTGGGGACACCTGGGGTCACCCAAAACACACCTGGGGACACCTGGGGACACACCTGGGGACACCTGGGACACACCTGGGGACACCTGGGGACACACCCAGTTCAAAGCCGTGCTGGGAGAGGTGACCCTGTGCCAGAGGATGGCCCAGTTCGACGGTGAGTGACACCTGGGGACACCTGGGGACACCTGGGGACACCCAAAACACACCTGGGACACACTTGGGGACACCCAAAACACACCTGGGGACACCCAAAGGGACACCCAAAACACACCTGGGGACACCCAAAACACACCTGGGGACACCTGGGGACACCCAAAACACACCTGGGGACACACCTGGGGACACCTGGGGACACCCAAAACACACCTGGGGACACCTGGGGACACCCAAAACACATCTGGGGACACCTTGGGACACCTGGGGACATGGGGACACACCTGGGACACACCTGGGACACACCTGGGGACACACCAAGATAAAAAATGGAATTTTAGGTGACATTTCCACGATAAAAAAAGGGAATTTTAGGGGCTTTTTCCAAGATAAAAAAGGGAATTTTTGGGGGTTGTTCTGGGGTAAAAAAGGGAATTTTTTTTCCAAGATAAAAAAGGGAATTTTTGGGGGTTGTTCTGGGGTAAAAAAGGGAATTTTAGGGGACATTTCCACGATAAAAAAAGAGAATTTTAGGGGGTTGTTCTGGGGTAAAAAATGGAATCTTAGGCTTTTTTTTTTGGGATAAAAAATGGAATTTCAGGGGGTTTTTTGGGGATAAAAAATGGAATTTTAGGGGACATTTCCAAGATAAAAAAGGGAATTTTAGGCTTTTTTTCTGGGGTAAAAAATGGAATTTCAGGGAACATTTCCACGATAAAAAAAGGGAATTCCACTGAAAGCTGAGAAGATTTTTAATGCCCTAAAACCGATTTTGGGGAGGATCCCAAAGGGCGATTTTGGGGCGGATTTTGGGTACAAAAACTCCAAATTTTTCCATTTTTTTTTGGGGAAAAAGCCAAGAAATTTGCGGAGAGCCAGGCCCGGAAGGAGAAGGAGCCCCCCAAGAAGGAGAAGGAGCCCCCCAAGAAGGAGAAGCCCCCCAAGAGGGAGGAGAAGCGGCCGGAGCCCGACGAGGACCTGGATGAGTGCGAGCAGGTCCTGGCAGCTGAGCCCAAAGCCAAGGATCCCTTCGCACACCTGCCCAAGAGGTGGGGACACGCCTGGGGACACCTGGGGACAGCTGGGGACACCTGGGGATACACCTGGGGGGGTCTGGGGACACCTGGGGACAGCTGGGGACACACCTGGGGACACACCTGGACACACCTGGACACAGCTGGGGACACCTGGGGACACCTGGGGACACCTGAGGA